TCCACACATGCCTACCCGATAGCTGTAGATAAATAATAATAAATATATTACATAGACAGACACACACACACACGCACACCCCCTACACCTGCACACGCACACATTCATACATACTGTACAATTTTTTACTATTTCACCCAGAACGTGCTTAATGTTAATGTTAATACTTCTAAAAATGCTACATATTTTCTGATTTGTCTTTATTTCGAGCAAATAAATCATGCAAAAAATATTATTCCTTCCATATTTCTTCTCAATACTATATGTTTTATGTCACTATACTGTTACTTCTAAAAAAAAAAAAAAAAGTAAAGAAGAAGAAATAAAAAAGACTAACTTAAGGTTCTTTAGCTCCTTAACAAGTTGGGCTTTTTGGTCAGGGAGCATCATGGCAAATATCGTGGCTTTCATCAATACCTGCCAATGTAGTAGATAGATTATTGATTAAAATAAGTCACTATCATCAGAAGATTCTGCTGAAATCATTCAGATCACATTACCTTAGGAAGCTGTTCAGGGAAGTGGTCACAGAGGGCAGCAAAGGATTTGCCATCAATTGCCAAATTATAGTCAGAACCGGCCTGATGTAGACCCAGAGAGAGGAGTTTAAACAATAAAAGCATCAACTCTACAGTATTTTTATTGAAACACTATAAATAGAACTTAGAAGTCTTTGGATTTATCAGTGTCTGCTGATATTTATACGCTATATTGAACAAAGCAGAGTTATGGAGTTTAATGCACCAATAGGTTTAGTGGTAGGCTACTTGCCTAAGAAGTGGCAGGGGAGTAAGCAAGAATTTAATCTAATAACTTTCTGTTTGCAAGACAGGTTCTCTTTGCCATGAGCCAGAGTCACATATGAAACATTGAGGGAAACACTTCCTCGAAGGCTGGATGTGACCATTTGTAATAAAATGCCACCCTTTTTTGGCTAAAATGCTGTTCTGGATTCCCATCATTTAGAAAGGCTTAGATCACCTCATTAATGTCTCTTGGACTTTGAGCAGCAGAGGCACCATCCTCTTCCAGACTGAACCTTAATGTGGGGAGGGTTTCATCAGTTTGGCAGGTTGCATGGACAAAAATCACCTTCTCATCAGTTTTCACCATCCCACAGGTTTTGGCTACACTCACTGCTGTTAAAATGTTGTCCCCTATGTGAAGAACAATATATCAAGACTGGATTTTAAAAAACAAACAAAACAAAGACAGTGATCCAAAACTGTAATGTCTCTAAAACGAATCAAAGCAATACAGTAGAAAAAACTGAACATGTTCTCACCAGTGACCATAATGCTACGGATGTCTGCTAATCTCAGGATGGTAATGGCCTCTGTACTTTCAGGTTTTACTACGTTTTTCATCATTAGTAAACCCAGGAACTGCATTTCTTTCTCTACTTCGGCCCTGCTGAGCAAAGCTGCATTAATAGGAAGTCACTCCTATAACAGTAACATTTATACATACCGGTACAAATTTATACACACGAATATACATACACACACACACATATATATATATATATGAATATATATTGCTAAAAAATAAAAAGATCACATAAACCACACAACATAACTTGAAATCCAACTGTTCACCTAAGAAGCAACACTGATTGACAATCAATATCCCATGCTGTTGTGCAAATGGAATAAACAAGAGGTGAAAGTTATTGGCAATAAGCAAGACATAGAGCTGTTGATCTTTTACACTTCCAAGAATTCCAGGAGCTGTTGTGTGGCATTGAGTCATGGGCTGTCTTTTGATCAATTATTTGTATGTGTGCTTCTGTAGTCTTGGGCAACTCTTCTGTCAACAAGAACTTGTAGTTTGGCTGCTCAGGTATTTCTACCAATGCCTTTCTGTGCCTCTGTCATATGTTGATCCATGTGCCCACTTATATTTGCTGCTATGATAGGAGCTTCCATGTTGTGGAGAGACAGGTTATTCGCTGACAGTTGATTAGGACTGTCCTCTTCTGGTGGTCTTGCATTGTCAGGACTGTTCAGCCCTCAGTCAGCCATTCAGGGTCCCGGTCTTTAACAACCAGGTCATTTTTGCTGCAAGGCATTCATAAAGGGAAGTCAACTTCTTCAGCCAGTAGGTGTGGATAATGTCTTGGCATGGTGCTGTCCAGTTTTTCATACCTGAGAGTCTTTGTTGGAGGTCTGCCATTGTGATATTCGGTGGAACTTGTTCAGGGTGGTTAGCATAGTAAGTTATTGGGTCTTTTACCCACTGTGCATTATGTGATGCTTCTCTCATATATATTTGCAGCATTGTTCAGTCTCTAGTATTGATGGGTTGGTTCATGTATTATTACCCTACCACTGGAACTTGGCTGGCTCAGTGGAGAACAGCTTGCTTAATCGTCCGGCTTCCATCTCTTTTGTGTACCTCTTCAGTTTGGTAGCCAAGGCTTGGAGTTTCACAGGTACCCATGAGGTATTGTGGAGAGACTGGTTATTGGCTGATAGTTGCTTGGTATTGTCCCTTTCTGGGGGCCTCTCATCGGGGGCTGTATTTGTTACCTCGCAGGGACAATTATCCTGAAATATGCTACATTTTGGGCACTTAGGACTTAAGTTTGAATTCATTGTGCTTTTATATTCCTTCTGTTTTATTGTTTCATTCATGTATAGTACTTTGAACTGGATTGTGCTACACAAATAAACTTGCCTTGCCTTGAGTTTATGTTAAGTTTAGGGTTTGGTATTTGTTGGTAATGGTCTGGGTAAGGGTCAGGGTTAGGCCATAGAATTGAATGCAGTATGAACAGAAGTCAATGGAAAGTTCCTAAAAGGTTACTGTAAGGGCTGGTTATACTCCCGCATCAGTGTGTCACAGTGAGCTTGTCACAGATATTTTTGATTTATGCCCAATATTGAAGTGTGGTCTGCACTATATTTATTCCACGCCACAATGCAAGAGGGACAATCACGAACTAGCTGTGGGACTAGATACGGCCGAGGGGCAAATTTGTGTAACGACGGAGGGACATGAGGGTGAAAAAGAGCAGGGATCCAGGTGGAAAAATGGTCCCAGCGTTCTTGCGCACCTCGCTCTTCTAGCTGGTCCATCTTCATGAGTCTTTTTCCACAATGGCGGTCATACAAACAAAACAAGCTGGTAAGGTACCAAACAGGAAATATGCATAGCGTAGAGTGGATGTAGATTTGACCAATCAGAGGCCTCCTGTCTGTGGTATTATCTGCGGTCACCTACAATTTTGGAGGGGTGAACCAGAGTGTCTGCAGAAGGGACGGGGACATATCTGCATTCACTGCGATACACACGCAGATGACCTGGTTTCTGAGTATAAATTAAATTAGCCTTAACACAACCGGGATGTGCGTGTGGCCTTATTTTTCTCACCGTTCAGCATTTTTCAAATCTGAATAAATGTCAACTGGTTTACAGGCAAGTGCCAGAACTCGGAGGCCTTCTCTGGAAAACCTCTGCAGAGTAATGAAGAAATTTTCTGGAACTGGAAGCAAAAAAAACCCCAAAGTGTTACAAATGTTTCATTCAAAGTAATGAAATAAAAATAGGTGTAAAACTGTAAAATATTTTGTCTGTATAGAAGGTGAGTAAAAGAAGATTTCTGACTCAACCTGTGTCAGGTTGGCAGAGGCTGGCCACCATCTCAGGGGAACCTTTGATGAGAGCCAAAGCAGAGTGCCCCCCAAAATCCACAGTCAGGACACTCGTTCTCTGCAGGGCTGAGGAGAAGGGAAACCTCTTAACGATGGCAACTGCCCCACTCCTGGACTGATGAGTAAAAGAAAAAAGTAAAGAAATGTTCTCGTTCTACAGACATAAACACTAATCCTTTTCCAATTATGAAGCATGTGGAGCTTCTAATGAACCATATTTTTCTAGAACAGCTATTAGAATTTAGCACTGAAGGTTACAATTTTACAGACCACAGATGAGGATTTACTTCGTCCTTAAAAGTTTCTATTAAAATGCTTCAAGATGATAAGACTATCATTTTATATAGCTTCAAGCATCTTTATAGCTGACTGAAGGTCTTTTTATAGTAAAAGGCCTGCAAAACCACAACAAAGAAAATCATAAAAAATCACATAACTCTAAAAAGTTTAACTTTTAAATTGTTAGAAAATGAATACAAATGTAGGACTTTTTTGACAAAAAAAACAACATGATTTTTTAATAAAATAAACAATAGCAGAAAAAAATGTAATACGCTTAAACTAAATTCCAAACTGAAGGGATTCTTTTAGGTAGGTAGCTTTTAAATGATCCAAAGTATCAGCTGCCCTCAGGTCTGTAAGACCCGCTGTTTCCTTACATTTTGTTGTCATCTGTTTAGACGTGCAGAAGTTTTTATCCCATGGATATCGAGAACATGTTTTGTTAATAACTTTACGTATGAGTGAACTAGGAGAGTGCATTTGCACGCATCCACTACCTTGCTCCCTATAGTCAAAAGCAGTTGCTGCTTTTGAGAAACAGAGCAACAATGATTTACTTTAATTTTAGGATTGCATCTGATTTCATGACTTCTTTTTTATTGCATCATAATGATAAGTTAGATGTATTTGTGTGCTTTAACAAAGAGCAACATTGGTGTCGTCCTTGTAAAGACACCAATTTGCTTATTGGAGATGAATTAGCAGTTAGTTAATGTAAAATGCAACATTCTAGGATGGGAATGAGGCCACTTACACATGCTGAAAGGTTAGGTTGGTCAGTCGGGGGTCTCATAACAGCCAAAACTGTGTGACCTCCAAACTCTGAGTGTATAGCATCATCTTTTCCCGCTGGCTCCTGAAGAGTCTGATAAATCAGGAAAAAAATGTAATATGATTTATACATAGCCCTATAACATGGATTTATTTTGGCAATATAAAAGAAATTTTATATGAAATGGAAATCCTAATAATTTTTTGGAAATAGATATTAAACAAACATCATTCCTAATCAGATCATCTAATTCATAGTCTATCTCTACTTGGAACATTATATATATCTATAGTTATGCTGCTATAGGCTTAGACTGCTGGAGGACATAGGGACTGCTATTTCATCATTCTGCTTTATTCTGTCTCTATTCTCCCACTCTGCATAATCTGTTAGTTCAATCTCTAACCTTATGCTATCTGCTTTTTCTCATAGTAGCTTTGCCTCGTCTGTTCCTGTTTGGCACCATCCTGGAGAGAATATCAGCTGTTCTGCTACCACCAACACCTTTGTTCATATGTGTTCGAGATTGGCCTGTTTATCAGCATAGTCATGTGGATGTGCTCTCTTTCATCCTCTAACATGGGAGCTGGCTTGGAGCTAGTCTGCTTGGCTATATGTTTCCTGGATGGGGACGCCTGTGGACCTGGTTGACAGTTGCCTTTTGAATCTCTGCTTCTTTCTGCATCTCTGCTTCTGTCTCCTTGAACTCCAGTCGGCCTCAGCAGATGGCTGCTCACACTGAGCCTGGTTCTGCTGGAGGTTTCTTCCTGTTAAAAGCGAGTTTTCCTCTCCACCTTTACTACAAGCATGCTTAGTGTGAGGGATTGCCTTTGAGTCGATGCAATCAGCTGGTTTTCCTTAGATAGAAAACTTTGTAAATTTGACTGTATGATCTCTCTGTCTCTGTAAAGTTCATTGAGATGACATGTTTGTAAATTGGTGCTATGTAAATAAACTGAATTGAAGTGAAGTGAATATACTGCTAGGTGTGATAGAGTAACAGAATACCAGCAGACCAAAAAGCTAGAAACACTGAATTAATGTGAGAGTAGACTATAAGGCATGCAATACAATAATATTAGGCTTATTTATGGCAGCTCAATGTATTCAAATTAGTCCAGTTCAATTTGCATGGTTCCTAAGTCGAAGCCAGGCTTTGTTTTTGGTCCACTCTATTAAGCCTCAAACCCAATACGATTTCTGACATCAAAGGTATGTCAAAAAATGTCAAGTGTCATATTGCAAGACCTGAATGCCTCCCATGCACTGTATTGTCACACTATATCAATGACTGTGATAAATATTTGTCAATATGTGCTTTGTTCTGTGTGTAACAAAAAATAAAATATATATATGAAAGAAAAAAATAATGCCAGTGTCATACCCAGCCAGTATACTCCATCATTGTAAGCTCCAATGGGTCTCCAATGGGTTGACCTTCTAGAAGTGTAATGGTGTGACAGCAGGCCAGGGCGATGCTCATGTTCCCTTCAGGCAGCAATGTGGGATCAGTGACTAGTTGTGAAAAACCAGCTGGTCCAGTCGTCATCACTCCCCATACATCTAGACCTTCCTCAGTCAGAGTTCCTGTCTAGAGAAACAAATTGGCTGCAATCATGCATGTCTTGAGCCTTAATCGAACACCACATTGATGACTCATTTAGGGGGTCAAAAAAGTACCAAGAGCATCATCTTAAGTACTGTAAGCCACACTTTCCTTAGTCAGAGTCAGTACTCATGATTCAATTTGGGAAATAATCTGGAAAAATTATCCTTAAAATTTCTATTATTGGGCTTTAACCTTCTCTTAACTTAGTGGAACATACCAGCTGTTTTGGAAATGTAACAGAGCATTTCAGTCATAGTGGTGTTAGCGTAACGGTCAGGAGCTTTTTTAATACTGCAGGACCATAATTACTTTTAGGTAAAAGAATTAAAAATGTTGTTCTCCACCTACAAAACAAAGTGTCTCTATTACTACATAATACCAATAAAAACGTGGTTATTGGTGAAGGCGTTGGAAAGTAAATGCCAAATGATGTAAGTGAAAGTGACCTCCCCCTGACGTCACATCCCATTTAAGCACCCAACTTTTTTCTCTTTGTCATGGCTCATCCCTGTATCACAGCTGGCCTTCCTTGGTGCTATCTAAGTGAACTTATTTTGCCCCAGTGTTGCTATATTTCAATGCATTCCTGAGATAGTTCATTATTCACTGTAAGACTGAATGAAGCTTCACTCGTTTGATGGCATTTTAGATCTCTGCATCAGTAGGTCTTTACACTTATCTGCTGCTATTTTAAAGGATACCTTAAATGCAGTAATACATCAAGCCTTAAAACTTGAACATTCCTTAGAGACTCTAAAAGGACTCTTAAACCCCTTTGTTTCCTTTTCATTGGCTTTTCATTTCCCTTGTGCTTGTTTTCAGTAATGTGTATTGTTTGCCTAGTTATTAGATACAATAATATTGCAATAGTGATTATTAGACAATAAAGATACAGATATTCTAACCTGTGTTTTGTCTGTTATTAATACAGTGAACTATTTATCACACAGAGCCCGATCTACCCTTTTTTGATTAACAATTGAAGAAACAGAGACAATTTCCTAAGGTTGGTGAATAATAATTCTGCTAATAACCATAGTCTAAATGACTAAATTGCTGAAAGACAACTGGATTTTAACAGCCGGTCCAGAAGTCCCACTTTGGGTAAAATAAATTAACTATAATCATTAATAATCATTAATTGGATTTTACCTTTGATTTGAAGACCTGTTAAATAACTAGAACTTCCAGTTCTAGTTATTTAATATAATCTGCTGTTAAAATTGCACAACATAGGAAAACATCTCATAAATAACTTAAAATGCATTTGGTTAATTCGAAAGGGCACTGGTCAAAAGCACATCAGTGAGTCCAATCTTAAAATTGGCTTAAATAAAACAAAAACAAAATAAGGGATATAGAGCTGTCTAGATATGGTTGTTTCAACCTAGTGGCTCTGTTATGCAGAGCTAGTTAGCTTTTTTTTGACTTATAGTTGTTTTTGCCACTTGCAACATTTTTTGTTTCCAAGTGTTGTGCATGACCATAATTTATTTGTTTGCATTGGCTTTTGTGTTTTCACTTTGCATCTCTCTATGTCCTATGATAACAGCATTTCTCTTTTGTGGCAGTTTTTTTCTTCANGAACACCACATTGATGACTCATTTAGGGGGTCAAAAAAGTACCAAGAGCATCATCTTAAGTACTGTAAGCCACACTTTTCTTAGTCAGAGTCAGTACTCATGATTCAATTTGGGAAATAATCTGGAAAAATTATCCTTAAAATTTCTATTATTGGGCTTTAACCTTCTCTTAACTTAGTGGAACATACCAACTGTTTTGGAAATGTAACAGAGCATTTCAGTCATAGTGGTGTTAGCGTAACGGTCAGGAGCTTTTTTAATACTGCAGGACCATAATTACTTTTAGGTAAAAGAATTAAAAATGTTGTTCTCCACCTACAAAACAAAGTGTCTCTATTACTACATAATACCAATAAAAACGTGGTTATTGGTGAAGGCGTTGGAAAGTAAATGCCAAATGATGTAAGTGAAAGTGACCTCCCCCTGACGTCACATCCCATTTAAGCACCCAACTTTTTTCTCTTTGTCATGGCTCATCCCTGTATCACAGCTGGCCTTCCTTGGTGCTATCTAAGTGAACTTATTTTGCCCCAGTGTTGCTATATTTCAATGCATTCCTGAGATAGTTCATTATTCACTGTAAGACTGAATGAAGCTTCACTCGTTTGATGGCATTTTAGATCTCTGCATCAGTAGGTCTTTACACTTATCTGCTGCTATTTTAAAGGATACCTTAAATGCAGTAATACATCAAGCCTTAAAACTTGAACATTCCTTAGAGACTCTAAAAGGACTCTTAAACCCCTTTGTTTCCTTTTCATTGGCTTTTCATTTCCCTTGTGCTTGTTTTCAGTAATGTGTATTGTTTGCCTAGTTATTAGATACAATAATATTGCAATAGTGATTATTAGACAATAAAGATACAGATATTCTAACCTGTGTTTTGTCTGTTATTAATACAGTGAACTATTTATCACACAGAGCCCGATCTACCCTTTTTTGATTAACAATTGAAGAAACAGAGACAATTTCCTAAGGTTGGTGAATAATAATTCTGCTAATAACCATAGTCTAAATGACTAAATTGCTGAAAGACAACTGGATTTTAACAGCCGGTCCAGAAGTCCCACTTTGGGTAAAATAAATTAACTATAATCATTAATAATCATTAATTGGATTTTACCTTTGATTTGAAGACCTGTTAAATAACTAGAACTTCCAGTTCTAGTTATTTAATATAATCTGCTGTTAAAATTGCACAACATAGGAAAACATCTCATAAATAACTTAAAATGCATTTGGTTAATTCGAAAGGGCACTGGTCAAAAGCACATCAGTGAGTCCAATCTTAAAATTGGCTTAAATAAAACAAAAACAAAATAAGGGATATAGAGCTGTCTAGATATGGTTGTTTCAACCTAGTGGCTCTGTTATGCAGAGCTAGTTAGCTTTTTTTTGACTTATAGTTGTTTTTGCCACTTGCAACATTTTTTGTTTCCAAGTGTTGTGCATGACCATAATTTATTTGTTTGCATTGGCTTTTGTGTTTTCACTTTGCATCTCTCTATGTCCTATGATAACAGCATTTCTCTTTTGTGGCAGTTTTTTTCTTCAAATGTGTTTTGTGTTTTTTGCCTTAGTCTTATTTTTGGTCTTGCAAGTCTAATTTTTTTTTGTTTGCTGTAATTATTTCTCCCAGAACAGTTTGAATTTGCTGTAAATTAATGCATTTGTACAGTATTTGCACCCTTTGGCCACTATTTATTTAAAATAGCAATGCAACCATTCACCAGTTGTAAGACCCTAGAGTTAGGGAGAAATATACACACAATTTTATTAAAAGAAGTCATGATTTAACTGCTTAAATTTCCAAGAACTCATACCTTGTGAGATGAATAAAGAGCAAAACGAGAAATCTTTTGGAAGCAAATATTTTTTTTTACAGTTTATTTCAAATATTGTTATAGTTCTTATAAACATGTCAGGGAGCTATTTATGGTACAGTAATTAAAGATCAGATTTATCCACTGCCCTTTTGATCATCTTTACCAGAATTACAAAAAAATTGTGAAAGTGGCTTTACATGTAGACATCTTTTCACATTCTTAGTGCTTTAAATGATTTAAACCTTACCTTATCAAAGCAGAAGACTGAGACTTTCCCACAGGCATTTATTTTGGGTGGGCAAATGCAAAAGATATCACACTTCTTTAGCCTGTTCTGGGCATAAATAGTTCCTATGGTGATGGCAGCAGGCAGGGCAGGAGGAACAACAATCGTTATAATATCCAAGGATCTAATGACTAACTCCTTCCTGGTCACCTGGAAACACATAGCTGTTAGAACTCTGTATTTCAATGAGGTATATTAAAGGCACAATCTTTTCCTATAACAATGCGTTTGTGGATATAAATGGCCATAAAATCCAACACATTTCTCTTCTCTGCTGTAAAACGTTTACTTTTCCATATAGAAAAATGATTGCCTTACTGCAATATAAAGTGACAGGGAGATCATATCAGTTAATTTCATTGTTTTTTTTCAGTTTCAAGCCATTCAACAAAAATAAAAAAAACAACAATCAATTTTGTTTAGCTGTGTGCCTGAAACTCTAAAATCCAAGTGATGCTGCCACCTGTCTATAAAGGAGGGGCTAGATTGGCATTAATAATGCACAGCAGCGTAAACCTAAATAGACAATTCATCATTTCGTAGTCAACTCATACTTCAAATAGAATATTTCACATTCATCTCATTACCAATTATCCAAAAACTGTAATATAGAAAGAATAAATATTCACTAAACATAAATCAAGCATTTGGCTCCAAAATATGTATTGGATCTTGTTCATGGTACTTACATCTGCTTTCAGGAGAGTCACAAAAATGTAAATGGTGCCAGAAAGAGCTGATGAGAACAAAATTGTCAAAGTCATTAATATAAATATGAAATTAACTATTTTCTCCTCTTTTTAAATGAAAATAGGTGAATTCACTGTAAAAGTTTACCAATTACTCCAAGAATGAGCAGGAACTTCATTGCATCTTTGTAAAAGCGGAAGTCCATCTCTTGAGAGTACAAAATAGAGCTGATCAGTTTACCTTTGGCGGTGAAAAACCCTTCATCAGAGACAGAAGAAACAGAATTGGTTTCTCTTGAAGAACATACAGAACACTTTAACAAAATACTCTTTAAGGATCACTAAAAAAACCATGTGTTTGCTTGCATATACAAGTTGCTCCCTCTTTGAATTGCCACCATATTGTGGTAGAGGGGATTCAGAGCTCAGATGATCCTAGAAGCTATAATGTCTGAGGCACAAATGCACTTGGTAGGGTATCCCATGGCAAACAGTCATGTGGTAAAGGGTCAGAGAAAGAACGGTTCATAACTAGCTTTAAGGCGAGTGACATAGCCCAGTATGGCAGAGCCACAGGCCCGTGGTTGGGGCTCATTGATAAGCACCTAGTGGCTGGACTATTCCTTGCTGAACAATCCCAATATGATTGATCAGTGCAAAGAGGAATGTTCTGACACAATAATGCTCATCAGAACACTTAGCATTAGAAGACCCTAAGATAGGGGTCGACTTTGTACAGTAGTAACATCTTCTGACATTCGGCTATATGTCTCGGCTACCTGAGTGAAGAGAGAGCCACAGAGCTTTCCACCTATTACCATCGGTGAGTTGGATCCAATGGCAGGAGAGTCAAGAACAAACAACTCAAAAAACATTGACCTAACTATAACAACCATTGAGATGGACATGTCTCAAGGACAGGCTTTAAAGTATAGCTGCTTCCTTTTTACATAAAGAGGAATCAGCTTTGGCTGCTCAGGAATCTGTTTAAGATTCTTCTCTGGATGCCAACCTCTGGAGGTATTACAGCTTTGTTCCACCACAAGGAGAACAGGGATTGGCCCAGGACAAGCTGAAGGGACTATGTCTCTCGGCGGGCTTTGGGGTTGCCCTAGATCAGCGGTGGGCAATTCCAGTTTCTGTGGGACGGTATCCTGCAACTTTTAGATCCATCCTTGATCCAACACACCTGAATCAAATGGCTGAATTTCATCCTCAGTATGCTGTCAGTTCCTGCAGAGTCCTCCCAAAGGCACATCTAAAAGTTGCAGGATACTGGCCCTCAGGAACTCGAATTGCCAAACCCTGCCCTAGACGGTTTGGAGGAGGTGTCTTGGGAGAAGGAGGTTTGGGTATCCTGACTGAAACTGTTTTACCAG